TCCCACTGGTTGTAAAATTAGAGGGAGAGACAAAGCAAACAACTCACTCTGCCATAATGTTAACGTCCTCTGTCTAAATTGGTTTGTTTTTTAGTTTAAAACCTTTGTTAATGCTTGGAGTGCTAGAAAGCAAGTCTCCAGGTAAATGTGATTTTATTGTACTCTCTCAGGTTTGTATTGGGTGGTGACCATATAAAGTGAAATTTAGAGCTTAATTTAAAGCTTCAACACAAAGAACCACTACGCAGTGGAAACAAAACTGTGGCTGGCTGAGACCCATATAACTACTTTGATTTAATTGGACAATGCCAATTCTGTGATAGAATCCCAAAGAAAATTCTAATTCCGTAAGAGACAGTAAGTTTACCTCAGTAACCCACGCTAAAGAGTTAGCAGGGTAGCCTTCGTATACTCAAAGGAGTTTGCCTTCAAGAACTTTTAAGTTTACAGCACAGGTAAGTTAGAAAGGAAGAAGTAAAGACCTCTTAGAATTAAGGAGAAGAAAGTTTCTAGGCATATGGGATGAAGACTTTTATTTGTGTGAACAATACAGGCATCCTGAAGCAGTTGATGTTTTAAGTCCTTGCATCTCACATCTACCAAACCTAATGTGTCTACTCCAAATTTACAGAACCCTAGAGGGGGTGAGAGAAGTCTCTCATTCAAGTTGTGATTCCACGTAAGGCAGAAATCAAGCTAAACATAATGAGCTTGTGGGGATAGAAAGTTTAAGGCATATTAGATACCAGAATCTTCTGATGATCGCCAAAGGAGATAGCTTGAACTCCATGGTGTAGGGAGTTAATCTTTTATGTTACCTACCTGTCTCTCCAGTTGGGAGGTGAAGGGGAGGGTCCGTATGCAAATATATGGGTTCCAGGTCATGCCAGTTCCCAGACATTGGACTGGTGATTTTTTGGGTGGATATCCAAAACCAAAGAAAAAAGGTAGAGCCACAAAAGAAATAAAACATGAAGGAAAAGGGCAGGGTTACAATCCTGAGTCTTCTCCTATTGAACAGGAAGCCTTTTGACCCTCTTGTCAGGCATGTACCTGAATCAGGTGGACTAAAGGAACTAGAAGCTCTAAAAGCGGTTGACAGAGCCAACTGAAATGATGAGCAGCTGATTATCACACTAAGGAAATAATAGAAGCCATGTTTCAAGTAGCCGTTGACCTACCTTGGTCATTTGTGAACACCAGAAAACAGCTGTTCTACAGGAGATCAACATGTAAAACTGGTCGGATGCACCAGAGCTCAGTGAAGAACAGACAGCAAGCTGTAACCCAAACTGCAGCAATTCCTTACCTTTGGGAGATTCTCATAGGCTGGGGATAGATATAGTAGTCGGTCTCTTTCCTGAGCCCATTTACCAGAAAATTTTAAAAAGACAAGACTCACTTTGTGGAGGACAGATGGTGATCACATTAGAATGCCTTGGAAAAGAAAATTTTTACTCATATGAAAATTTTACAACAGTTTGTTTGAAAAATTGTATTTCTTTTAAATTATATTTTTAACTCTAAACAATTTGAGTTTCATGATTTTTTCCTTTGAATTGAGTAACCCTTCGGCCATTCTTCAAAGATTGATTAAAGTATGTGGATCAGGTATATTTTCCGTATCACTAAATTTATCCATGAATATTTGTCTAACATGTTGAAGGACATCTGAATCAACTCTGGTTAGTGTCAGGTTCAATTCCTAAAGTCAGGCCTATGTTTAATCTTAGTAAATGCTAATTTGAATTTAAAGAGGCCAAATCACTAGAGAACAAAGTGGAATTTAGGCACATAACCAAACCTCTTAGCATCAAGAAGAATCCAGTAAAAATTGGGAAGTGCCTACAATTCAAGGAACTAATCATTTGGGAATTGGGGATGGGGGAAGTTATCTACTTTAACAGTAAAAGTGAAATAAAGCTGCTGAGAAAACAAATCTGTCTTCTAGTTCAGATGATTATTTGGCCATTGTTTGGACTTTTGATAAACTCAGGTTTATTGGTCGAAAATCTACTTTATAAACCCACTGGCAAAGCTTGACTTAAATACTGCAGACACAGCCCTGGAAGCTTTACTACTTCCAGATGATCTTTAAGCATTATGCTGGAATTAAGGCCAGAAAAATGGGAATTCTGCACTTGCCCTGAACAAATTCACATTAGGTGGACCTCATGTTCAGGACTCCTATTAAAGATAATAATCCCTAGTTAGAGAAACAACGTGCTAGTCATGTTCAGAGGTTTGATAAAGTGCATTGTTAGGTGGTTGGTCCCGATTGCATCTAAAGCACAGATGAGAATGGAAGCTTTGGGACTGGGAATGGGGGAGACTGTTAAACAAGCATAAAGTATCCCATATTCCCAGTTTACTTGTTGGAAAGAAAGGGATTGTAAAACTGGAGAACCCTTCTTATCCTCTTTTGGGTCGGAAGAAATCATGTGGACAGTTAGGGCATGGAGCTTGTGGGAGTTATTTTAGGTAAATAATACAGACTACATTCCACTGAAATTAGCCTCTGCCGTCCACTTCAGAGGAGGTCTTGCAAAGAGTTGAGAAGATGTTGTTAGATGAAGACTAAAGAAGAGTGTTAAGATGGGCCCAGGAGGCTCAGCTGACTTCGGATATGGAGGACTGCCATGTGTAAATCTAAAATTACACTAATTGGGATTCTGTATGATGGGTGAACAACTCATATATAAACAGAATTCTGTTTTATTTTTCCATTTGCTCAAAAGTATGTTTCTCAAACCTCTGGGTATCCAATCTGTATTCTTGTATCTTATTAAGTGTCTTAAAGCACAGTGGGGATTGGCGTTTTAAGATTCCAGATTTAAAAACATGAGTCTCCAGAGAGGTGGACTAACTGTCGAGAGCAGAATGAGGAGTATTCCAAATATTTGTGTCCCTGAAGCTTAAAATTAGGAACACGAATTGTGAGTGTCACATAACATACCATCCAGAGTGTCACAAGGTGTCAACAGGAGTCCACCAGTTATACAGGGAATGCCTGCAGATGCTACCCATGGGCTAGATTGCCTCTACTTTCATTGGTACTTTAGGTGTTTCAGGCGTGGAATTTTCCCCACATCTCAAAATGTAAACACACATTGGCAGAAGAATATGAGGAGGAAAACCTAATGTTTTATACTTATGTTAATATTCATTTTCCTCTTATGTATCATCTAGAATCTATAGTCAGGCTGAAAGCAATCTGTTTTGTTTTATTTTTTTAAGGGAGATCTGCAACTTTATTTTTTTCTAGTTTCGTGAAACAGTTCAACATCAACATTTACCTCATTTCAAACACACACACACTCACAGCATGGCATTGTACAGATGTACTGGAACTTGATTTTCTTTTGTCTTTTGTTTGTTTTTTTGGTGAGGAAGATTGGTCCTCAGCTAACATCTCTGCCAGTCTTCCTCTGTTTGTACGTGGGGTGCCGTCACAGCCTGGTTTGATGAGCAAGGTGTAGGTCTTTGCCTGGGATCTGAACCTGTGAACCCCAGCCACCCAAGCAGAATGCACAAACTTAACCACTATGCCAGCAGGCGGGCCCAAAGGAATCTATTTTAATATTAAATTGTCTATGTCTTTTGACTTACTAAAGCTCTTCTGTAGTAACAAGACAAAACCTTCTTTATATATACCTATTTATGTTCTCTCTTCCTGAGCATAGAAAATGAGGTAAATGAAGTCAATGTTGTTTACTAATAAGCTACCCATCCAGCACGCTTTATTATTCCATTTTTCTTGGGGGATGAGGTACTTCTTGTAAGCTTGTATTACTACCTTAGTGGTCTGGAATACCCTCCTATGGACTTAAATCACAACTAAGAAATAGCTGAATAGGAATCTGACAAAATAGAAACACTTCAAAGCGCTGTGAATACTATTTCTGTCTAATCAGAGGTTGAGAAACTTTTTTTGTAAAGGGCCAGATAGTAAATATTTTAGGCTTCGTGGGCCAAGAGCTTTGTGACTGTCACCCACAGTCTGGCACAGATACTTGACTCTGCCACTGTAGTGCGAAAGCAGCCATGCACAATACGTGAGCAAATGAGCACGGCTGTGTTCCAGTACAACTTCATGTACACCGAATTTCGTATAATTTTCATGTCATGAAGTAATTCTTTTGAATTTTTTCAACCATATGAAAATCATTTTTAGCTCATGCAAAAGCAGGTGGCGAGCTGCGTTGGGCTACAGCCTCTAGTCAGCAGAGCTCTGGTCTAGTAGCTGCCCCAGTTGTGGATAGGCTTAGAACTTGGGAAAAATGGTACCATGCATCGCATCAGTTTCTTTTAGATAAAGAGATGCCATCAAGCCGTGCCTCTCAGGACTATTATGCAAATAAAGTTAGAGATTGGATGACTTACAAATGCCAGATGTTTCTAACCCTTGTTCATTGTTGGGGCAGCACTTTCAGCTCACTTTCCACTGTGGTGGTTGTGAAAACCAGACTTTACCTCTGGAGTGTCTTTTTCTAAATAATGAAAAGCTGGAGAGTTTTCTCAGGATATTGCAGGAAGAAGAGAGATGGCACCTTGGTCTTGTCTAAATATTTCCTAGCTTTCTTCCCAGTGGTTTCTTCCTGACAGTTCTCGTACCTTTTCACAGTTTCATTCCACCTTGTATTCAGTCAGGTTTGTAAGCTGTTGCTGTGGATTTGGCAGAGAGAACTAAATGAGATGTGTGGTGTACAGGGCAGAAACACTCATGATTTCCTAGGGTGGTTGGAGGCCAGGTGCTTCACAAGGGAGATTAGTGCTATTTTATTTCATTGTTTATTTCTGAAATGTGGCTTACGATGTTATTTGCAGGTGAAGGCAATGTATTAAAGTCTTAGTAATCGAGAAGAGTAAAATGTACATTTTTGTGTTCTCTTGATTCGTTTGAAAACAGTGTTACTCTCAGATTTAAAATGCATTAATGCATTTTCGGGTTGTTTATAGCCATTGAAATATCTGTCATTTGCTTTATTTAAAAATTGCAGGTGGAAAAACCTTGCAGTGGTGGTCAAGATTTACTTCTTTATCCAGCTAAGAGAAAGCAGCTTTTGAGAAGTGAACTGAATGCTGAAAAAGTGCCTCCATCTCCACTACCTGCTCCAAAACAAGTACCACCATTAAAAGGCTGTCCAACAGCTATGCCACGAGACTTTAAAGAGAAAGTTGCGGAGCTGCTGATGAAATACTCAAGTGGTCTTTGGGCCAGTGCACTCCCAAAAGCATTTGAGGACACGTACAAAGTGAAATTCCCTGAGGATGCCTTAAAAAATCTTGCCTCGCTTTCTGATGTATGCACCATAGACTACATTTCTGGAAATCCCCAGAAGGCCATTCTCTATGCTAAACTTCCATTACCCACTGATGAAATCCAAAAGGATGCAGGGCAAGCGCATGGCAATTGTGATATCAAGTCTATGATTGAGCAAGAATATTTGCAGATAGAAGAAAACATTGCCAAAATTGTTGATACCTTTATTGAGAATGTAACAGTTCCTCCATTAGTCATTCCGTCTGAGGCCTCTCCATCTGTATTGGTGGTTGAACTGAGCAACACAAATGAAGTGGTCATCAGGCAAGTTTTATTTTCTAATTCTTTAGGATCCTGGGGTACTGTTGTCATTTGGCTGTTCTTCATATGGTGGCTGGGGGTTGAGGAACAATAATATATTTCAGTTCTATAGAGTTTTGATGAAGTACAGCAATAAAGTTCTTAATATTTGTTAAATGTTCAAAATATACAACTGTTCATGTGAGAAAAGATGACTAACAGTTTTAAAAACTGAAATGATAATATGGTCTGAATGTGAAAAAAAACCTGTGTCAAAAGCGTAATAGTAACTATATATGTCAAAGGCAATAGTTAGTCCATAGAAAAAGCAAGTTGCCCACTGGGTAGGTTATACTATTTAATCTGCGACTATGTAGTATTTCTTAAAAATCAAAATAGCTCAGCACCACCTTCCTAGTATAATGCATCAGATTAGCCCTCTGGTTAGTTGAGCCTTTTGATATCATTGCCTGAGAGGAAGTGTCATTGCCTAAGAGGCTAATGATAACTGGATTCCAAAAAACAGTCCAGCTCCAGGCACTTGACATGGACTTTTGGAGAAAATATAGAATATACAGAAAATATTGAAAAACTGTAATTTGCACTTTCTGACTCAGGATAAAGAATGGGAACCGGTGTAGCTGGATATCTGGAGGCACCAGCCCAGGGTATGGCTGTGGCTGGACAGAACAGAAAAAGCCTGAAGCAGAATTCAGCATCCTGGAACCCAAATGTTCCTATGGTGTGTGGGCTATTATTCCTCCCAAGAATCATAGCTGAGCTGAGAAGGCCCAAAGAAAGACCACAAAAAATAATCAAAGTCCTCCACTGAAAGAATAGATCAAAAATATCAAAGTGCTTCCATCTGAACAAACTAAGTCTGAGAGGATAATGAAGTGAGATTCAGGTATCTTGGGATCCTTGAACTGGAAGAATGCACAGAAGCTTTAGAGAGGTCTTGTTTTATACAGGGGTAATAAATTTGTAAAGCTTTTACTCTAGGATGTGGTATGGCCTGAAAATATAAGTAGGTGGCTGAAAGTTAGGGGTCCCACTGTGGTTCAGTAATAAATTGAGATAAAGGAAAGATGTTGAGGAGCACATTGCTAACTTTTACCATTTGACATTATAAAGAAAATCTGTATTTCCTCCTTGGCTGAATCCTTTGGTGTCCATTACCAATAGTTGTTGGTGCCATTGTCAGAGAACAATCACCCAACCCTGAGCTGGATCAATCATGTGATTTCTGATGTTTTCACCAAAGATTGGCAGGACTCTGGGTCTGTTGCAGGACTTCAGTAGGAGGATTCCAAGTCTGTTCCAGGATGATTGGGTCCAGGGTCCTCAGATTATTTAGGTCACTGTTTCCAGTGAAAATAAAATAAATTTGAATCCTGGAGTCAGCATTCTACATGTTCAGCAGAGTGGCTGGCAACCAGCAAGCATGGTGGGTAATGTCTGCCATCAGGTTGACCCTAGGTCATTGGCGTCCCCCCACCGCCCTGAAGACTTAGCAGATCCCAGCTGGGCTGAGCCCTGTTCTAAACCCATGTCTTCACCCAGGCAGGCAGTAGGCTCTGGAAGCTAGGCCTGTGACTCATAGAGGGCCTGGAGAGGTGCTGCGGCAGAACCCTCAGGTCAAGTATGGGAATCTGTTGTCTCTAGTCTCAAAAATTAACTTTGTAAAGCTTTGTATTTATTGCATACCTAAACTGATCTACATTTCATTCTGTGCCCACTAGCTCAGGTGATCTGGGGACAATGTATGACCTCATTCTTGCCATTACCCAGTCATACCACTGAAACATCAAACTCCCTACCTGACCCAAGCCATGTAGCCATCCTTCTCTGCAAAGAGCAGAAGCTGCCTGCAGATTTCATGCTGCTTCCCACCACTTTCCTCCTCCCTAGCAGGAGCCTGTTCTACATAGACTACCCAACCATGGGCTGCAGCCCAGGCCTCTGCCAGGTGAGCTCCCAGGGCTGTAGCAGCGCTGCAAGGAGGCCCCACCAGACTCCACATCCTAGGAGATGGGCACTTGGGCAGAGTGGGAGATCTCCTAGGAGACTTCAGAGCCAGGAGTACACCTGCATTCCAGGCAGCACCTTAACATTTGTAAAGTTCAATAAACTTAAATGATAGAGTATGACAAGGCTTCTACAGCTGTTTCTGGGATGAATAATAGGCATGTCATATTTGATTTTAAAATAGCCATTGCCTCAAAAGAGGTATTCTCTTCATCTTGTGTAAGACTTTTAAAAGCTTCTTTTCCTCTAATAACAAATAGGTTGCCCATGGTGTCTTCTGCCCTGCTGATAGTTACCAAGAATACATGCAAACACTCCTAAAGGAATAGTTTCATTATATAGGACCACTTGGACCGTAGGTGACAGCTAGAACAATGTTGTTGTGGCGTATCCCCCATCTCCCTGCCGGGTGATTCTGGTGCTGTTCTGGCATAGCCGTCCAGCTTCAAGTCTTCATCCTATGGCTGAGACATAGGCTGTTACAGGAGCCAAACTTACTTGCCAGGTTTTACATCCTGGAAGGAGGTCTTCGATGGAATTGTCTCTGAGGATTAAAGGACAAGAAAACAACAAACTATTTGTGGCAGAAAGGAAAATAGTATGTTTTGATATCATGAACTGGGACAAGGTGACTGCAGTTGTCAATAGCAGAAAATTGTAGAAGGGGATGGGAGCATATCCTGAAAAAAATACTTCTCAGAAAGTAAACAATTTAAGAAGTATTCAGCTAGAACATGTCATCTCTTTTAAAGGTATCAGACTCAATTGTTGTGATTTTTTCACGTTTATTCAGTAGGTTGGGGGGACAGGTTGTCACGTGGTTGTGTTTGGTGTGTTTAACGCTTTGTTTTTCTCTAGTAAAACTTCATTGGTTTTTAGAGCTTGAGCCTTGTTCACACCCAGCCTTAGTTAGGGCAAAACTACCAGCTAGCTTCTCGTCTCACTGATCTACAAAGATCTCCAGCAGCCTTAGTCACAATCTGAAGTCGACTCTTGCTTATCTGCCCTCCATCGGTGTCTACACTTTCCAGTGCATCTTCCATTCTGCCCTTCCCTGGAGTCTTTTCTCAGCCTCCTCCTCCCGGAAAGCTCCCTGACTGCTTGCTGTTACATCCTCTCGTTCTCTGGTTGCTATTGAGCATTTGCTCTGCCGCGTGGAGTGTTGGACCTTGGTCTTGTTTTTGCATGAGCTCCACAATATCGTATTTCCCTTTTTCGAGACAGAAGCATTCACTAAATACATGTTCTCCTCCCTGCTGGTGTAAGCAAACCTGAGACTGAACCTAAGACGGCAGCAGTCACAGAGGAATATTCATGACTTCCTGTAGACTTCCTCCAGCTAGGTTGCTTCATTTGTATTCTCTTCCTTGCACTATTTCAGGTATGTGGGCAAAGACTATTCTGTTGCTCAGGAATTAATGGAAGATGAAATGAAGGAGTATTACAGTAAGAACCCCAAGGTCACACCAGTCCAGACTGTGCATGTTGGGCAGCTGCTGGCCATAAATGCTGAGGAGGATGCTTGGTTACGGGCTCAGATCATCTCAATGGAAGAGAACAAAATAAAGGCAAGCACTGTTTACTTTGTCATAGCATTATGAAGACAAGCACATTATTTTTCAAATGAAAACATTGCTTCTAATATTTTGTCCTTTCTAACTGTATTTAGTTTTCTCTAGAAGTTGAGAGGATAGTATCTATCAAAGATTATCCATGTCAACTTTTAAGTCGATGGTAATTATCTCAGAGTTTTAGTTAAAAAAAAAAAAAGAAAAAGAAGTTCTTCTCCATGGGAGTCTCCATAACCTGTGACATAATCAGGGAGAGCCCTTTATTCGGGGATCCATACTAAATACTAATCAGAGCTCTGTGGGCTTCTTAGCAAAGTCAGCCCTGCAGAGTGAGGGAAGCGCTACAGCTCAGAGGAGACAACATCCTTTCTCTCTCTTCTTCAGCGGCCAGCTGGGGAGAGCCCCTGCCCTGAAGCTGTGTCAGGAGATCAGAAAGGGATGCTTGCTGTTTCTTACCCAGTTTGTTCTCTAGAAGAGGACTTGACCCTCTCTAGAAGTAAGCTCACCCTAACCACCCAGGCACCCTTTGCCATTCACAGAGAAATTTAGGAAATTCCTTAACTAAGTTTACAGACACAACTTTTAAGCAATTTGACCTGACCTTAAAAATCTGAAAATTGGAAAACAGTTTGACAGTTTCTTGTAAAAGTTAAATACTTACAATATGACCCTTAAGTATTTACATAAGAGAAAACATAGGTCCCCAGAAAGGTTTGTACACATGTGTTTGCAGCAGCTTTATTATTAATAGTCCCAAACTGGAAACAACCCAAATGTTCACCAACAGGTGAATGTATAAACAAATTGTAGTTTATCCAGATAATGGAATACTGCTCAACAGTAAAAAGGAAAGAGATACTTAAAACACAGTCACATGGATGAAACTTACAGACTACACAAGTGAAAGAAGACGGACTCAAAAGAGTTATACTGAATGATTCCATGTAAATGATGCCTAAGAACAGGTAAAATTCATCGGTCCTGACAGAAATCAGATCAGTGGTTGCCTAGGACAGGGCGTGGAGGGGGCTTAATTTAAAGGGGCAAGAGGAACTTTTTGGAGTAGGAGATACAGTCTGTTATCTTGATTATGGTGGTGATTGTGTAGGTATCCACATTTGTCGAAACCCATCAAACTATGCTTTAAATGGGCATTTTTTTGTTCAATATAAATTATACTTGGGTAATGTTTGAAAAACGTCAGGAAAAAGCTAAGGACCAAGTTGATAAGCAGACTGGTGGAGAGCACAGTGTGATTAGCAGCTAGGAACTAGTCGGACTCGGCCTGTTACTGGTTGTCTGCCTTTGGTCAAGTCCCTCCGTTCCCCTGGGCCAGTAGAGCAAAGGCATTGGGCTAAATGATTTGAGATCTGAAATCTTGGTCCCCAAAGACTCTCCTTAGTTTTCCTTTATCTGTCTCCGGAATGCCCTTCCCTGGGGACATCACATATGTGCAAACACTCCAATTGAGAGACCTCATCCTCACTGGAACCTCCTCTGAGAAAGAAAAGCACAGAGGGGTCAGGCTTTGACACAGGTGTGTGTGTGTAGGAATGACTAGTTGGGAAAGAGTAACAGAACCAAAGCCAGAGCGCCCCTCGGTGAAAGGTCGGGATGCCAGGAAGAGAGACGGCACTGGGGGCAGTGGGGCGAGTTAGCACACCTCAGAATCCTTAGCACAGCAGGGGGCGGGAAGTCCCAGGGATCAGGACCCCAGTCAGAGTGGCCCCATCTCTGCTTTCCACGCCGTGAGAAACCTGAGTGGCCTCTAGTTGATAGAGAATAACTGCCCCAGTGTTCCTAGAGAAAACTCTGTCTACTGACCGTTTCCCTGCCCTTAGGAAGTTCAAAAATACTTAAGCTATATTTGACGGCGTAGAGATTGGTTACGAAGAGAAGAACCATACACAAACCTAGTGACACGTTAACAGTGCAACAGTGTTTGCAATGAATAATGCATACGTTCCATGAGGATCTCTCTCAGTCTGAAATCTGTAGGGCAAAAATCACTTGGGCCTCCCTTCCTTCCTGACCTCTGCTTTAAAAGGAGTTTAAGCTCTGGAGTCAGTTCGACCTTAGTTTGAGAACCAGCTCTGCCATTTCTAGCTGTGTGGCCTTGGAAAAGTTATTTAGCTTCTCTGAGTCCTTACCTATAAAATCAGATACTGTCATCCTTCTAGTATCTGCCTAATATGCTTTCCATGCATTTTTTTTTTCATTGTTCTAGGACAGGGGACAAAACTGCAAGTCCTTGTTTTCAAGAAGCTTATGTTCTAGTGAAAAAAGACCAATAATGAACAAGTGTACAGTAAATAGAACAGTTTAAGTGCGGTGGAGGAAATAACAGGGTGCTGGGGTAGGAAATGATTGTGAAGGAAGGGAGAAGCAGGGAGGTGTGATCTGGTTTATTGGCTTGAGAGATTGTTCCGGCATCTCTGTGGGAGTGGATTCTAGTGGGGCAAAGAAGAAAGTAAGACCAGTTAGTTGGCTCTTACAATAGCCAGCAATGTGTGACCTAAATTAGGGTGGCAGTAGTGGAGACAGAGGTAATAGGACAGATTCGGGATGTGTTTGGAAGTAGAACTGACAGGACACTAACTCGCTGGATGTGGCAGGTTAGAGAAGAGGAGGTTCAGCATGACTGCTGGACGCGGGACTTGAGCAACAGGGTGGGTGGTGGTGCCATTTGTTGAAATTGGGGAGTCAGAGAGAAGAACCAGGATATGGGAGAGTCGAGAATTTTGTAGGACCTGTTAGGTTTGAGAATAACTATCAGATTTCACAGGGATGAACTTGGAGCTCAGGGAGAAGTCAGAACTGGAGAGGTATCAGGTTGGGGGGCCTCAGCATGTTGGTGCTACTTGAATTCGTGGGACTAGATAAGATCACCCAGAGAAAGAACCCCCACAGAGAAGGGAAGGGGACCTGGAACCAGGCTCTGAAACACTTCAGCATTCAGATGGTGGGCATGAGAGGAGCAAAGAAGACTGTAAGGATGGGCAAAGAAGGAAAACCAAGAGGGCAGTGTCATGGAAGCCAGGACGAGAAAGTGACCATAAAGCAACCAGCTGTGTCCTTACTGCTGAGAGCTGTGGGCTGGTATGAGGAATAAAAAGGGTCGCTTTGTACATTGTACAGTAGTAAGCTCATAAGACAGCAGTAGTTGTGGCAATTCTGGCCTGATCTTGTTTTCTACATCTCTGTGAACCAGACAGAGAGGAATTTCTCTCTTTATCTGGGGAACCCCCAGCTCCTCAGTAAGTCTGTTTTTCTTGAACTCTGCTATGCCTGATAGCAAGTACTGTTTCCCTCCTTGCTTTCCACAGACCTTGGTGAGGATGAGAAGCAGGAATGTGCGGTCACCCCCAGAGGCTGGTGGCAGTTTGACTTTACCCAGACCCACATCCCAGGGATGTCTGCTGCTGGACACTCAGGTGGCTCTCTGAGACATGTGGCCACTTGATGGTGCCAGAGAACCAGGAATGGACTGGGGCCCGCTACCAGGATTATGAGCCTGCTTGTGCTGATCCCAGGGTATTAGAGAGGGAAACTCTACTCAGCCCTCACAGTGCAAAGGACACAGGGCAAAGTGTGGTGAGAGTCATAGTGGGCAGTCCGTGGGCGAATGTTCTATAAACTGCAGCTGCCATACTAATATATGGTATCATGACTCAAAAAGGAAGGAAAGAAAAGAAAACAAGCTCCAAACATTACAGAAACCCTTTGAAGACGTTAGAGCAGTTATTCTTTAGTCTGTTGGTACTAGGAATACATTCTGAATTTCCTGGAATCATGATTTCACATATTATGTCCTGTCGTCAGACCGTGTTATCTCCGTTTTAGGTCTAGGAAGAGCAGAATCCAAGTTGTAGATGGTGACAGATATTAAAGGAAACAAAAGCTGCCTGAATCCTGAGGCCTATGAGAAGGAAGAACAAGTGCTAATTTGGAATTGGAGAAATGAGCCTGTACCCTCAGTGGCTGGCTGCCTGATGCGGGGACCCTGCTGTAGATCTAGGCCTGGGGAGCCTTGGGTCAAGTGACAGACTCTGAGAGACGGTCCTTTCCAGTGTGGGACAAGCAGGCCCCACAGGCCCGGTTATCAGGTGGTCAGGGAGAGGCGTTAGTGGTCTCTCTGGTCTTCTTATTGCTTAGACTCCCTGCTGGGAGAATTTTTGTTTTGTATGTTTAGTACCACAGTCTAGGTACTGAGAAGCCGTGGACTTTATTTTCCTGCAGAAAGTAAAACTCTTTCTTACTTGGTCTGTCTTTGCCCTGGTTTTGTAATAAGCAGCATCTGCTTTAGTTAGGGAAGCATGGGAGGTTTTCAGCACTCTCCCTCAGATTCCTACTTATCACTCTAAACTGCAGTTTACTGTTTCTAGACTATTTTTGTCCAAAAAAAGGCTTTGTTTATATGGTCATTTTCAACAGAAGTTTTTATTAATGTTGTAAAAATACTATCCAGGCTCTTAATGTTCTGTGCTAATGGTGAAGAAGTGTCGTGCAGGTTTCTGCAAACACAGAACGCTGTCCCACAGATTTGGGGCCTTTGGCTGAGCTAGACGAAGACTAATCCAGCTTCATATCCCTAAAAAAAAACAGAAGTGTCTGTTTTTACAGTGTACAGTTCCATGTTATCCAGCCATGGCATTGTTGTCATCAACAGAAAGCATCTCGGTCCCTAGAAGCATAATAGCTGAGAGCAGGCCCTTACAAAAGCTGCTTTGGGGGTTTAGAATCTAACCAATGCCACCAGAGTGGTGCCCTCTCTACAAACGAGTACTGCTGCCCGGGGATGCAGATGCTTAGTGGAAGTGTGTAAATCAAGAAAGACTAAGGTGATGCAGGTGTTATGATACCAGTGAAAGGGTGGGGACAGCCAGGGCTGGCAGAACCAGATGGCTGTGCTGCCGAGAAGCTGGCAACAGCAAGGCCACTGGCAGAGGCGCAGCAGACGAGTGGGCCTGGAAGGTCTGGAGCCCTGGCTCCCTGGCTGCAGCCCCAGCCGTTCTTTTCCGGACGAAGTCAGAGCTACCTCCCCTGGCATTTTCCAGGCAGTGCGGTGCCGCTTAACATGCTGATTATGGAGTAAAGTGGAGGCAATAAATGCATCAAGTGACTTTTTAAGAAGTAAAGATAAAGAATTTTTTTTGAACCTAAAATTGTTGTTTTTGTTATCATTAGGTATGCTATGTTGACTATGGTTTTAGTGAAAATGTTGAAAAGAGCAAAGCATACAAATTGAACCCAAAGTTCTGTTCACTCCCATTCCAAGCTACAAAGTGTAAGCTAGCAGGTAAGAGGAACTTTGTTAAAGCTCTCTCCGTCTGGATATGTTATTAGCATTGTACTTTTGAGTGGTTAAGTTGTAAAATGTACTCAGTATCTCAAGGTGTTGTGTTAGTTCTTGAAAGGTGTAAATAAATTCATGTTTAATGTGGTCTTTATAAGATGTGATCATTATAAAAATGTTATAATGTTTTTATTATATTTTTTGTTATAAATAACATATACTTCATTACAAAAATGTCTATTGGCCATTTTAAAGGGGTTTTTTTTGTTGTTCTGACTGCCCTAGCGACAACTGCTAGAGGCCCCGTGTCGTGGGATTTGATCAGTTTAAATCATGGTGTTTGACCTGTTGTGAAGTGACTCTCAGCTTTTTCGCCCTGACGTGGACTCTGTGGGTGCTGCTCTTTGCAAGTAACACACCCTCGTGCGCCCAACATGAGTTTGGCCATAGGTCCTGTGCAGCCTCTGGCACAGTCAATGTATCGCTGTTCTTTTGTTTCCTCCTCAGGGAAGCACAGAGGAATGGGCAGTGTGAGAGTGAAATTGTAGGGGTCACCTGAAAGTATGGAGGATGCAGTGGCCATGTTAGTGATGAGATAAGACATTGCATTGTGTCTGCATCATGCCAAGGGAGCCTGAACTAAGTTCAGAAGACGATCAAAATTCTGTCATGAAAATTAACCCTGCAAAGAAATACCTCCTGCCCAGCAAGGAGAAGTCTTCATGTCAGAGGAACTCGGTTTGGCTCTGTCTGTGAGATAAATCTCAAGTATTTTTAAAAGCCAAACCTGTGGGAGTTAGTTTTGAAAAGAATATAACAACAGCATAGGACAAGGTTTAGGTTGCTGAAATGAAAGGTTTGATAAAAGCTATAAAGTTATGTGCCTGGAGAACAGAACAAGAGCAAGAGAAAGGCAGCTCAGAGGCAGTCTGTGAACTTTTGACTGTGGATTTAAAGGGGAAAGATATAGAATAGACATGATAGTACCATTGGGGAAATTATGAGCCAGTTTTAATTAGTTTAATAGATTAACTTACAGTTGTCATATATATGATACATGGAACTATCACTTTCAGAGAATTTAAAGAGTAATTAGACTACAATAAAATTCATCTAATAGCCATTATATGTTAAACACTATTTAATCTTTCTTTGATAAATCAGAAAGTTCTTTAGTATCCTCTGGGTCATCATAGTCTACTTAAAAAGAAAGAAAAAGTGGTTGTCCAAATTTCCAATAAATGTGTGTTCATTTTATAAGAAAGAAATAATTGTGTATATTTAATTAGAAAATGAAAAAAGTCAAGGATATATTTTTAGGAAGACCGTCACAAATACACTATTGGCAGACATGATTGATTGATAGCTTCTTATATGTGCAGTTTCCCCTTATCTGCAGTTTCACTTTCCACAGTTTCACTTACCCCGAGTCAGCTGCAGTCCAAAAATATTAAATGGAAAATTCCAGAAATAATTCATAGGCTTTAAATTGCATTCCGTCCTGGGTAGCGTGATGAAATCTTGCATCATCCTGCTCCGTTGGCACCCGAGATGTGAATCACTCCTTTGTCCAGGGGATCCACGCTGTATACGCTGCCCGCCCGTTAGTCACTTAGTAGCAGTCTCCGTTATCAGATCGACTGCCGCAGTATCGCAGTGCTTGTGTTCCAGTCACCCTTAGTTTACTTAGTAATGGCCCCAAAGCACAAGAAGAGTGACGCTGGAAATTCGGATATGCCAAAGAGAAGCTGTAAAGTGCTTCCTTTAAGTGAAAAGGTGAAAGTTCTCAATAAGGAAAGAAAAAAATGCCGAAGTTGCTAAGATCTACAATAATTTTTATTACAGTGTATTGTTAGCATTGTTTTATTATTGTTGTTAATTTCTTAATGTGCCTGATTTATAATTTAAACTTTATCGTAGATATGTATGTATAGGAAAAAACATAGTACATACAGAAAGGTATCCCCCACAGATAAGGGGGGACCACCGTATTAGTCTTTTTGTTTTAAGTATGTGTTGTATATAAAGTGAACGCTGTTTCTCCTAAGGTAGAAATTCTGATTGATCATCAACTTTTCTTCTTGTTTTAAGATTGCCTGCCTCAGTGTAAATCATTTGAAAGGGTATTCACAGTATAATATATATTTTAAAATTTAAGGGTGGGTAATGTAAAGAAGATTTTAAAAACAAAGCTTCCCTATAAAATTTAAGTATTTTAGTAATTCATAATTGTAATAAGTAGCCAAAACAAACTCAATCTATCCATCTTGAAATGATTCTGCTAATTAAGTTGAACTTAAAATATTCATTATTTTTCAGGATTGGAAGTTCTAAGCGATGATCCTGGTTTAGTGAAGGTGGTTGAATCTTTAACTTGTGGAAAGATCTTTGCAGTGGAAATACTTGAAAAAGCTGACGTTCCACTTGTTGTTCTGTACGATACCTCAGGAGAAGATGATATCAATATCAACGCCACCTGCTTGAAGGCCATATGTGACAAATCGCTAGAGGCTCACCTTCAGGTGCCACTGTGACCACTGTCGTGATCTGTTACACATATCATGGGAAAGAAAGTTAGAAAAGAATGTCATAAGTTTTAGGCTAACACTAGATAGAGACAGATTACATACTATTGAGAAAAAAAGAAAGGGGGACTGGAAGGGAGGGAAAATGCCAGAACAAATAGTAACGACTAGGATTTAGATTTTTGTTTTATTTTCCATTTATAAGTGAGCTTATTTTCATTTTATGTGAAATTGTTTTGCAAAGATAATAGAGAAGGATAATACAAAAGAAGGGAAAGATAGATCAATGGAGATGTTTATTAAATTACTAGCTCTAAAATTTTTTAAATGTGAAGAACATAGATGTCTGCAAAGAAGGAAACCTTTAAATAAATTATAGAACAGCCACTCTAAAGAATAGGACGAGATGTTAAAAATGATCATTTTAAAGCCTTCATAGCAACACTGGGAAAATATTTAATAAATAGAACAGCAGTGAGTTGTCTTTATATTATGATTTGACAAAAAATGGCTAAAATTAAACCTTTACTGTGATTTCAGTTTTTAAACATTACTAAAATTTATGTGGCTTGTGGACATAGATTAGAAAGTAGGTTGATAATGGGATGAATTTGGTGAGAGTTTTCTATTTTCATTTCTGTTAATGTTGAAAAATATGTTTTATGTAATAATTCTTTTTCTAAATTAATGGAAAGAAAATAAACCAAAGTTAAAGATTTTCTTAGCCTTTCGGACAATGGAAAGTGGTAATAAGTTAATGTATGCAAAATGTCTACATTGTACGTGATACAAATGATATCCGATGCGCCATTTGGAAGGAGAGGTATCCAAATTAGTTTTTCACATTAAAGTTAGGAATTTCATTCTGTCTTATCTTCCAGCTTACTTAGAAGATTTTAAATTGCAGAGACTTTTAATGAGATATTTGGGTAGCTCCCCCTGAGGTAGGGCAGAGCTGTGCTGTATTCTCAAGCATCCTTGGTGTGTCTTTTGTTCCAGGTTGATGCCATGTACACGAATGTCAGAGTGGCAAACATTTGCTCTGATGGCACTCTCTACTGCCAGGTGCCATGTAAGGGTCTGAACAAGCTTAACGACCTTCTGCATAAGATAGAGGACTACTTCCACTGCAAGGTATGGCACAGCGTCATCCCCTCTAAGATTAGTCCTGAAGTTGGAAACAAGAGTGGTCACTAAATTGTGTAAGTGTGCGGTAGGATCTCTAGAATAGTTGGGTAAGAGCCCCAGACTCAGAATTAAAAAAACACACACTGGTTTCCACACCGTAAAATGAGGATAATAATAGTGTGAACCCATAGCATTGTCATGAGGACTAGGCGCAAGACTGCCCAGCACAGTGCCTGGCACGTGGTAAGTCTCAACACCTGGTAGGTTTGTTATTTACAAGCTGCACTTGATGATCCTGCAGGGCAGCTGCCTGTCACTGTCTGCTAGAGCCAGCTGGCTCCTCTGCCTTGGGCACAGATGAAACCAGGGAATTTAGGAGGAGAATAAACTTCTAAGGCACCACTGCCTGAGCTCCTTATGGTGCCTGAAAATGTACCACCTCAGCAAATGTGGTTCTGCAGTTTAAATTTATTAATAAGCTCCTGCCCTTTGATTCTAGGATTCTTTTCTGAATCAGGATATGTAGAGGTTTGGGTTTTTTTTTTTAAGGTTCTGAGGTGATTTCCTTACCTTCATTAGGACATGATCATCGTAATCCAGAATATGCTATGGTTTTCAGCCCTGACCCCTGCCCCTGTAAGTGAACCCTTTCCTCTAACCTGCAAGCACACCGAGCGCCTCGGGGCACTCGCAGGCAGGGTTGTGTTGGAGCTCTTTGGGTATTTGTTTGCCTTACCAGAGGGTAGGCTTCTGGAGGGCAGGTACCTAATTCATCAGAGGCTGGCTCCGGTGACTCAAATGCATGCATGTGCTTACAACCTGTGGTGGTGAAAAGCACTCTTTATAGGCCCTGGTGCCCTGGTGCCTGAGTGGAGACATTGCCTTTGAGGAGAGTACAAACATTCCTCCTGACGAGAGAGACCATGGCAGGTCCCCAGCTTCAAGCTACTGCAGTATCACTGGCACTGATGACCATATTTGTGTTGATAACATTTCTTTTGTTTTAGAATTAGAATCTTATCTTTGAATCTAAATGTTAAAAGATGAAAAGAAGAGACCTCATGGACAGCCGGGCAGCCTCCTCACTTTCATCCAGGCTGTTCTCCTCTTTGTCAGATTTATCCTCCCTTTTCGTGTTTACCTGATGGCGCCAGAGCCTGGATGAATCATACTGACCTCCATGCTAACATTTGTAGGCATTTTAACAAGGCTGATTTATGAGCCGTGTGCAAGGAAGGAGAGTAGATGACTGCCACCAACAAATGTGTAAGAAACCAGGCAGAAGTTCTACAGCCCCCTGTACGTGTGCTGCGTCCACGGCAGCGCACTCCTTGCGGGAAGTCTGACTACAGACAGGGAAGCAGTCGGCCCGTGCCCCGGTGATGTTTTGCTAATGGTGTGGCAATGTGCCCTTTGCTAAGAGTAATAAAAGTGTCCTGCATCTCTGTTTTGTAGCACATGACCTCCGAGTACTTCGTTTCATTACCCTTCTGTGGGAAAATCTGTCTCTTCCATTGCAAAGGAAAATGGCTCCGAGTAGAGGTAAAGTCAGTCACTTGACCTTTTTTTTTTAAACTTATTATGAAACGTCAGACATACGAACAAGTTTTTTTAAAAATGGAATAAGCACCCGCATGCTCCTCACCAGTTTGAGAAATAAATCATGGCCAGTCTGGTTGGCCCTCCCCGTCTGCATCCCCTTTCTCCTCCTCCCTCAGGGAGCTGCCAGCTGAGTTTGGTGTTTCTCATTCCTATTCATGTCTTTATACTTTCACTATATTTGTATCTATACACACACACTTTTGCTATCTATATATTTTGATATATAGATAGTGGAAATATAGAAATGCATATGTATATAGAATATTTATAGTAAAAAATAAGTGAAGTATAACGAAATGGACAAATATTTTAAAAATGTGTGTAAATAGTAAACTGTGTTAATGCTTCTGAAACATCCTTTTTCGTTCTTTATGTGTGTGAGGTTCATCATGCTGATGTGTGCAGCTTGTTCGTTGTTTTCACTGCTGGGAGGTGTAACAATGTGCGACTGTGCCAACGATATCCCTCCATTCTCCTCATGATGGATGTTTAGATTGTCTCTGATTTTTTTGTTAGGAACAGTGCTCCCCTGAACTTCCTGTGCAGTCTCCCAGAGTACCTATGTCGGGGTGGAATTTCTGGGTATAGGGAATGCATATCCTCAGCTTCCCTAGATACTCCCTTGTGCTCTCCAGAGTCCCCCATCTGTTGAGGGTGTGGCCCTGTGTGCGTTCCAGCTTCCTGGGGGGCCTCGGATCCTCCTTCCCTCCTGCCAGGATGGCTTTGGCTTCAGTGTTCACAGACTCCTCTATTTCCACTCTCTAACATTTGTCTCATTTTCTTGCAAGCTCGATTATGAATTTGAAAGGAGATTTGTTATATGTTATCATATATTTCTATATGTTTTTCAAAGGTGGGTTTTGGATTTTTGTGGGTCATGTTTCTTTCGTTTTTCTTTCCTCCTTTTTGTAGTATCTTGTTTGCCCAATTGCTAAAATTGCAAATTTGGGCCAGACTTTCTTTTCCTGTTTTTCCTTTGTTACAGAGGTACTTAATTTAGATTCAAGGACCTCTGCTTTCAGGGGGATTCTTGAAGCCCCTGGAATTATATGCAAATATTATTAGCATTTGTGTATTATATTTTGGGGGGGAAGTATCCATAATTTTCATGAGATTCAAAGAAACCAACCCTAAGAAAGTAAGAACCGTTGCTTTATTGATTTTTAAATACTTCCCGGCAACATTTCAATAACTTAATTATACTGATTTTCCTTTAAGGAAAACTTGGTCATGTCTACTTTAATGAAAGCAGCAATTTTGAAGTAATTATTGTCATTAATGTGAATGTGTGTCAGAAGGCTGAGATCTGGGGTTACGTGACCAAGAGTTATGTGCTAACTGTAAACTTCAAAAACAGGACTCATTAAGAAGGAACACAGCATTATTTGAATTTTAAAGCTGTGTGCTATTTAGTGTATTATGTATATAAATGCGCAAATACTTAGTTTTTTTGACCTTTTTTGAAATAATATCAGGCTTTTAGAAAGGTGCAAAAATAGTTCAAAGAGTTCTCATATACTCTTTACCCACTGTCTCCAATTGTTAACATCTTGCATAACCATTATCAAAACCAGGAAATAAACACTGATACAATACTGTTAAGCAATCTGCAGAACTTACTGACATTTCCCAGATTGTCCTGCAAATGTCCTTTTTCTGGTCTAGGATCCCGAGTTGTACGTAGTTGTCATATCTTTTTAGTTTCCTTGAACCTGGCAGTTGCTCCGTCTGTCTTTGTTATTCTTGGCCTTTTGAAGAGTAGCAATATTTTGTAGATTATCTCTCAACTTGAGTTTCTTCATGTGTGGAATCAGGTTATGCCTTTTGGGCAAAAATACCTTTTCAGTATATACACAAATACTTTAGATAAATATCTAGCTTTTTTTTTTTTTTTTGAGGAAGGCTAGCCCTGAGCTAACATCTGCCAATCCTCCTCTTTTTGCTGAGGAAGGCTGGCCTTGAGCTAACATCCGTGCCCATCTTCCTCTACTTTATTTGTGGGACGCCTACCACAGCATGGCGTGCCAAGTGGTGCCGTGTCCACACATGGGATCCAAACCGGCGAACCCCAGGCCGCCAAAGCGGAACGTGCGCACTTAACCACTGTGCCTCCGGGCCGGCCCTCTGGCATTATTTTTATTACTATCAAATTGTGTATTGTCTACCTTTGAGGTAGCAGAAGTGTTCATTCTCTTAGTGATGCCTAGAAAGTTAGGCAAGGAAAAAGGATACATGTGTTCTTGACGTTGTAACTTATGTAAGCTTTATTTACTGCCTGTACATCCTGACCTTATTCCGTACGTCCAGCCAACTCGGTTCAGTGGCCGTCACACCCCCTCTTTCCTCCAAACACGTCCTGAGTGGTCTGCATTCTCTTTCTACACCACCTTCTGGTCAGTCCTCAGCCACTGGTGGTTGGCTTCTGCCTGCACTCACCAGAGAGCCTGTTCTTGCAACCGAACCTTAACTGCACGATCCAGTTACTATCTTCTAGGTCTTATCTTACCAGACCTGCTTGCTGCATCTAACATTGTTGACACTGGAAATTTTCTTATTAGGCTACCACATTGTCACATCCTCCTAATTTTCCTTATGATGTTCTAATGATTTCTTCTCTTATTTTTCACTCAAACCTCACCCCTACCCCCACCTCTAAAGTGTCAACGTCAGCATCCCCGAGTCCTATCCCGGCTTACCACTCTTCTCAGCCTCTGCATCCTTCTAGGCAATCCCATCTCATAGTTTCAGTTATCATCTTGCCTTTGATGTCTCCCAAATTTATTTTCCAGCCCTTGAAAAGCTTCATATTTGGGCAAAAAGCCAGCCTAATTGTCCATCTCATGAACCACTCAAGCTCTACATGTCTGAAACCAGAATCATCTTCTGCCGTTCTTGTCTTCTTCCTATGTCTGTATTTTGGGTGCCTCCATTCATGCAGCCATTCAAGCATTCAAGCTGTTCCTTTAGAGTTATCTTTGACTCCTTCTTCTTCCTCAGTCCCTGGTGCAGCCAGTCACCAAACCCTGCCTATTTTGTGTCTTTTGCCGTTTCTGGCCGAGATCACTGCAGTACCGTGCCGGGGGGTTCCCCTGCCTTCGCTCTTGTCTTCTTCCAGTGGAGCTCCACACCACTAGAGTGAGCAAGCCAAAATGCAAATAATAATATGTCACATTTTACTGAGACTTACTGTTTCCCAGACACTAAATGTTTTTTTAAACATGACTGATCTTATTTAATCTTCACAAAATCCTCTTATCCCCCATCTTACTGATGAGGAAAGTTATTCAGCTAGAAAGTAGGAGAGCTGATGTTTCAAACCAAATCTGTCTGACTCCAAAACCCTCACCCAGTCTTACCACCAACAACACATGGCCTCTTATAAGGCTGACCATCTCATTCTTCTGCTTAAGACTTGGTGCTCGTTTCTTCTTATCTACAGGTAGCGTCCAAATCCTTTAAGACATACTGTCTGGCCGTCCCAGTCCTTGCCTTTGGCCGTCTCCTGGCCTCATCTCTTGCCTCGCCTCTCCAACCAGCAAAATGCTCCAACACAACCAAAATGCTTGTAGACCCCACGTGTGAGAAATATGTGGTCTTTGCCCATCCTCTCCCTCTATTTGGAATGTTCCAATTAGCCTCTAACTAGACTGCTGCCAGCCTGCTTTGCTCCCATTCATCATTCACGGTCCAGATCTGAAAGATCTTATATCTAAATATAAATTTATGAAATTCCAGTTTGTGAAAAAATAAATACAAATGTCCAATAAATATGATTATTTCTTAAAGGAACACAAATTTACACAATTTAAGTGATCTAGCCAAAGAGTTTGTTAGATAAGTGACAATATAGCTATATGATAGACTGCTGTAACATTAAAGTGACGTAAGAGATAATGACATAGAACAGTTTTATGAGACACTGAGTGAAAAATAGTCAATTATGTTATAGTATATACAAGTGTGTTCTAATTTTTGTAAATCTAACTTTTTGTAAATGCATGGATAAAAGACTAAAAGGATAATTGTAATCTATAGTAGATTACAAGTGATGTTTATATCATTCTTTTAAGTATCTAAATTTTCTATAATGGAGGCATTTTACTAAAATAGGAAAAAAAGTAAATTTTAAAGAAAAGTCCCAATTCTAGGCATTCCCTCCTCCTGAAAGCTTGCCCTAACATCTCCTTCCTGGCTAGGTCAGGTACCCATCCTCTATGTTCTCATAGTACCCTGTGCATAACTTGATTATTGCCCCTACTGCATTGTCTTATGATTATAGATTTGTGTTGTCTCTCAAGAGACCAGGAGCTGTCTGAGATGGGGAAGTATGTCCCTGTGGCCCAGTTATGCCTGGATATAATAAGCTTTCAAAATATACCATCCAGGGGCCAGCCCCGTGGCCAAGCGGCTAAAAGTTCGGATTCTCGGGTTCGGATCCTGGGTGTGGATTTACTCCACTCATAAGCCATGCTGTGGAGGCATCCCACATACAAAGTAGAGGAAGGTTGGCACAGATGTTAGCTCAGGGCTAATCTTCCTCAAACAGAAAGAAAAAAGAGGAGGATTGGCAACAGATGTTACCTCAAGGCAAATGTTCCTCTTGCACACACAAAAATAATAATAAAATATACCATCCATACCAATATATATGTTCCATATATATGTTTGAATAAATAAATACATTTTAAAATATTGCCCCATAGTACTGTTTGTGTTTATCATGTGTTAAGAGACTTAAAAAAATTATAAAATTTAATACAGCATTGTCTGGGGCAGTAGAAAAAGGCTTACTTTTGGTATATCTGACTTCTCTGCCAAGAGGGGTCAGGTTCTCCCTGCAGTCACCACACTGAAAGCCCCACCAATCGTTCTTAAGGTGGCAGTTCATGCAGTTATAGGCATGATGTTCCTGCCGGGGTGACTGTCCCAGCGGGCTCTATTTGGCTAATGTCACTATAGTCAATGATGGCAAATATCGTAATGACTTAGTAAGAGAAGTTACAGGCATTTAGAGGTGCACCCGGAATCTTATATTTCAGTGTTGCCATTTGATCACAGATAGGTAATTGCTTTGACTCAGTGTGTAATTTCTCAATTTTTGAATTATTAATTTGAGCTTATTTTACTTCTCTATGACTTTCTGAGTTTCAATTTTTTAGTTATAGGACAAATGATAAAAATTATCATTGGGTTTTCTGGTGAAACTATAAAATACCAAAATATGTTATGACTTAGAAATATGTAGTATTTACTACTAGTAAAATTCTGTCTCTGAGTTCTCTCTATTCTTCATTTCCTCATTGCTAAGACACAATAGTTTTTTTCCTCACATTTTATTATTTTGGAGAACACACTGCACCTTATAATCAACAATATATAATAATGTGTAAAATTATTGTATATCAATAGTGTCCTAAAATTGAGAACCTAGTAGATATTACTATATTTATTAATTTTACTGATTATTATTAGTTTAGTGGTTTTTACTGATTAAATGAATTAACAACTAGATGTTGAAATCAGTTCTATTCTGAAAGAATACTTATTTGGCAGAAAGTACATTTTAAAATAAGATAAAATTAACACTGATAGTCTTTATTGCTTTTATATGCAATTTGGAGTTGTACAAATGTAATTGCACAGAAGCGTGTGGGCCTTTGGGGTGTGCTAATAAATTAGCCAACACACGTCTCATTGCAGATCACCAACGTTCACAGCAGCCGGGCTCTTGACGTTCAGTTCCTGGACTCCGGCACCGTGGCATCTGTAAAGGTGTCCGAGCTCAGGGAGATTCCCCCTAGGTTTCTGCAAGAGATGATCGTGATCCCACCTCAGGTACTGGGCGCTACGGGCCGGAGGGCTTTCCTGGAGGAGGCGTGCAGGCGCTCACAGTCGTTTTGAGATGCCCTCTCAGTTGTGATCTTGATAATGACCCAAGTCTGAGGTTGTAACAGAATTGGAAGTTGTCCATATGTGGTTGTTCACTGGTTTTCGGACGTAAAATTTGGCCAACTTAGACGAGACCAGTCAAACTTACAGAACGTTGGTTGATAAATGTGTGATTTAAGGGTGTATGGTCATTAGGCTGTGTGTCCAGGTTCCACCTTAGTACTTAGATGCCAGTGCTGACTTCTACACAGTTTTAGGATATTCTATGTAAATATTTTCTCCCAGAGTTCTCAGTTTATTTAGGTAATTATTGTCTTCAGAAATGTGTTTATATTTAATCATTTTCTTTTGTGATCTTTTCCCGTAGATTTTAGTAAAAAGATTAACTTCAGTCTATCCTTTCTCTACTGGTAAAAAAAAAAAATCAGATGATAAGAATTTTGAATTATTTTGACTTAATTAAAATTGTTAAGAATTATTTCCTACCTTTAGGAGCCATAAAGGATTTTGTACAGAAATCAGGGTTTTTTTTTTAAAATAAAATTGTTCAACATTCTGTAATTTCAAAAGGCCATGTGACTTATATTTGCTAGAGGATATCTTACACCATCAAAACTCAGTGAATAAAAAGTACTTGACGGTGATTAGCATGGCTTTTTATGATTTCTCTCACTCCAGCCTTTTCTAAAATGACTGTTACAGAGAAGCTGTTTAACTTGTGTTCAAGCCAGGCTCAGAGGGGAGAAGGAATCCAGGAATCCTGGAAGTGGGTTTTTTTCCTCTTCACAAAATTGCCTCTGTCCATTCAGAGGCTCCATCAGACTGAAGGGCATCCCTGAGGTCACTTTTACTCTCTGTTGTAGCCGTTGTACAAAAGGTTCTGCCGTGATGGTGGGAGGTAAGAAGCACCAGGGAAAATGAGGCTTTTAGGTGCCTGTGGATTTCAGGCTTTCTAGCCCTCCTTAATTCTCATTACAACCTCCTTCAGAAGGTGAGCCCAAGTGCCCAGCAGCCACAGGTGCTCAGGAAATGCTGAATGAAGCACTAAGCCTCCAAAAAGATGTTTGCGACAGGTGTCAGAGTTCATCCAAATGACACTTCATTTTTGTCTAGTTGGACTCCGAGGGAAGACCCAGATATCAGTCCCGATCCTGTCTTCAATCTTACACAAATAAGTCTCTCTGCGTCTCTTTCACCACCTGTAAAATGGGGTCACAACATTGGCCTGTCATGCAGAAGTATTGTAGGGGGAGAGGTACATGAAGTGCCTGGTATAAGCCCTGGCTTGTAATAGATAAGTAGAGACAATGGTAGTAATGTAAAGAGAGCCGGGAACATAACAGATGCTCCAGCTGAGAGCTGTGATTGTCATTATTAGCTGTTGCATGCTTTCTATCTTGGCAACATCTGACTTGTAGGAAAATAATATCAACATTATTCCATAAGTACCTATTTTAAGACGGTGAGTTTGTTTTTTCATCATGTTTTCTTTTCAGGCTATAAAGTGCTGCTTAGCAGATATCCCACAGTCTATTGGCATGTGGACACCAGATGCTGTGCTTTGGTTGAGAGATTCTGTTTTGAATTGCTCGGACTGTAGCATTAAGGTTAGTTATCTTATGGCTCTTGATACCTTTAGAAAGGGAGCTGTCAGCCGGAAGGGCTCATTTGGTTTTTTGAAGGAGTTTTATCTTACTATAAACTGATGCTTTAATGTCTGACACCTTTTTATAGTCAAGAGGTTGGTTATATGTGTAGCTATAAGATATTTCTTGGTTTAGTTTTGATTTAAGAATTTATACTGTATCTCCAGTATTATTTTAAATGTAATTTTTCCATTATTAATAAGGTAGCAGAGATGATTCTCTGCTCCTATTTTGCTCCATGATAAGGAATTAAGTCTCCAACAGAGGGACCATATGTCTCTTGATAAATTTTTCTAAAGACCATTTAAATACGTCCCCTATTTCTTTTTCTTTCTAAAGTAGAATAGATTATAAACAAATCGTTTGCTTATAATCTTGATTTTTGCCTCTTTTCCTAAAGTTTATTTAAACTGTTTATTTCACTAGCTCATTTCTTTTTCTGCGCTTTTGCATCTTCATATCAAAAACATTGCTCATATTTCCAAGAATAGGAATGTGAGATGATATTTCTGTTTTAAGTGATACAAATAGTATTATTTTATATAAGCATTTAACAATTAAATGTCCTTGAGAAATATCTTCATGAAGTTCTCTAAATTATTCTGGCTCACACTGATTTTCCTATCTTCATCCTCCTCTAGCTTTATAATACACAATTACACAATTACATACCAGTTTATATTCCTCAGTTGCCACATGATAATGAATATTGTTTTCTCATGTACTTTGTAAGCGCCTAAAGCCAGGGTAATGGATACTCAACAAAAATATTTTTTAATGGTTGATTTTTTTGAAATGGTACTTCTGTATAGGAAATATCAAAATGAATTAGCAATCAGTACTTCATTAGCACTCCAAAGGATGAATTTAAATAGATTCTCCTCGCTAGAAAAAAATTTAAAAAGTCACTTCCTGTAGAAGGCTTGCCTCGCTGGTGTCGCCCTGTCTTCAAGCCTGCGCTCCTGCCTTTCATTCCCACCCCTATTTGATAAAAGGTAGATGCGTCTTTTTTTTTTTATCATTCCTAAGATAAACCAGAGGAGCTGATGAGAAGAATTAACAATCACCAGCCCTTTGGGACACACAGCCGTGCAGTCCTGGTTATCAACGTGTGGTGCTCCATACACACACTCACCCCTCTGGCAGCAAGAGCAGCAGTAGCTAGGTAGTCACAGGTCTCCTAGGCAAAAGGTGCAAAACTGTAATTTTGGCCTATTCAGTGGAGCTTTCTTCCTCCTTTTCTCCCCCGGTCCCTCTCTTCCCATGTAACTCGGGGAGAGGGTGAGGGGTGAGGGCGTACATTAGGACCAAACAAGGAATTTGGACCACAGGTCAGGAGGGTATGGTGAATGTCACACTGCTTCTTTCCCTCCCCGTCTGAGAGAGCAGCAGCCTTAGCCAGATGCTTAGAGGACCTTCTGCCGTTGTCGTTATTTCTTATTGTTGAAGCTGAGTGAGGAACACATGGGGATTCATCATACTAGTCTTTCTACCTTGAGTGTTTTAAAATGTCATTAATAGAAAAAAGTGTTAATCATGATATATAGAATCACTTTCTCTCAATGATAATGACCTCCAGCATAAGTTATTCTCAAGAGTCTTTATAAGTTAGTAAATTTTTCATTTCCATAAGCTTGCTGCTGGTTTCTAGACTATTTTGACTTAAGAGCCCATTCATTGCTACAGCTGTGATAGATAATTCATCTTACCTTAAATAAAATGCATGTTAGCAAGTCAGGTTTTCTTTGCAAAATACTGTGTTTTAATATTTAAGGCTAATATTATAACTGCCTCTCAGAATTCACTGTGAACTTGGATTTCTTGAATTGTTTTTTGTCTGTTTTCCGAAGGTTACAAAAGTGGATGAAACCAGAGGGATCGCATATGTTTATTTATTTACTCCTAAGAACTTCCCTGATCCTCATCGCAGCATTAACCGTCAGATTACAAATGCAGACTTGTGGAAGCATCAGAAGGATGTGTTTTTGAGTGCCATATCCAGCGGAGCTAGTTCTCCCAACAGCAAGAGCGGGAACACCCCCATTTCAGGCAACACTGGAGAGAATTTCAGAAAGAGCCTCACAGATGTCTTCAAAAAGTCTGTGATGGACCACACCAGCTCTTTCTCCATGGAGGACCTGCCACCTCCTATCCACTTATCAAAGCCAGGGGAACACATGGATGTGTACGTGCCTGTGGCCTGTCACCCAGGCTACTTTGTCATCCAGCCATGGCAAGAGATACATAAGTTGGAAGTTCTGATGGAAGAGATGATTCTATATTACAGTGTGTCTGAGGAGCGCCACATAGCGGTGGAAAAAGACCAAGTGTATGCTGCAAAAGTGGAAAATAAGTAGGTCCTTGGACAAAGCATTTTATTCTACTCCTAAGAAAAATATGTAGAATGATAACCAAGAGTGCTTAGTCCCTGCAGGGGGACTCGGAACTGCGCGAATGGGGATTTTGAATGTGAATTGAGACTAATGAATGTGCAGTTTTCTAATGTTTACAATGATGTCGTTCATCTAAAAGTCTAGTGGACCGTATTCCTGCTAAAACCCGATTATATCTAAAGTGAAGGTTTAAGAAGGCTTTTTCTATTTTTCTATTAGAAACAAATTATTTTGTGCAGAAAATAAGGTTTAATGACTTTCTAATTTTCAAAATATTTATTTTAGGAAATCTGGAAAATACAAAAAAGTATAAGAAATTAAAATCAGCCAACCAACATAACCCTTGTTAAACTACTTATGTGTTTCTTCTAGTTTTTTTCTATACATATTTATACAATTGGTGTATTAGTATTATAAATAATTTTGTACCTATTTTTTTCACCTAACATAATCCTGTGAACAATTTTCCATGTGATAAAATTTCTTCATAAACATTTTTAATGGCTGAATCATATAGAGAAATCATCATTTACTTATCATTCTCCTTTGTCATGTAGGTTTTCTCCTCCTAGATTTTTCACTATTATAAATACAGTTGAGCGTAAATCTTTGTTTGCATCTCTGATTCTTTATTTTCGGGATAGATTCCTAGAGGAGAAATTACTTGTTTAAAGAGTGCGGGGTTCTTGCTCTGTGCTGTCACGTGCTTCCTGGAGAGCTTGCGCCACCTTTCGTAAGGGGCAGTAGAGTGTATTTCACAGCTCTTTGCCTTTGGACAGTGAGAACCGTAATGCCTTACATTTGTTTAGCACTGCCGTCTGTTTTCTCACGGTTTCACATTTGGATCCACGCCCTCCTTCCTGAAGCCCCCTCACTATGTGCTGGTTCCACCCAGTGAAGCCCAAGCACTACACACTACACTCTACACTCCTTCCACGGGAGCCCTAGGAGATGGCACAGCCGCCCCTGTCCTGTCCCCTTGGCCAGCTTTCTTAGGAGAAATGGACAAGTTGATTTGATGATGCTGAACACAAAGAACTGTCTCCCCACTCCCGCCCAGCACACACAAAACACATACACACCCCCCAAAACTCAGTTTAAAAGGTCAAACTGCTTATTTCTTCTATAAAATGCTTTCATTCTTTCTTAAGATAGCAAGCCTAGGCGTTTATAAAATTTTGTTATTTTCATAGGAGAAAAAAACTAATTTTCAGCTCTTAAAAATGAAAAATATAATACCTCTCATTCTGAAAAGCATTCAACTTAAAAGTCGTAAGCTTTTCATCTTCAAAAAAACATTTTTACTATGTTGTGTCATTTACAACTGGAAGCATAAATGGGTTTAATTCCATATGGGAACATTATTTGTGTAAATTTGCCTCATCAGAATTCTTTGCAGGATAATTTAATCACAGTTAAAATCCAACTAATGTTAACTCTTATCTGAGGGGCAGATTAATGATGATTAGTGATGGGGAGGTTCTACTTAGAGGCAAGGGTTGTGTCGGGTTGGAGAACCCATAAACTGGAGACCTGTAGTGTGGGACTTCAGAGTCCACCCCCCTCCACGGGTGGAACAGTTTTGCCCCAGGACTCTTGGGTTTTAACCAGTTAATTTGTCCCCAGATTATCAAGGGATGTCTTATGTATAAGAACAGATTATCTGATATTTTTTTAACTTTATGAACTGAATCAGTGTAAAGTGTTTAGAGCTTCTGTCTTGTTTACAACCCAGACTATTTACTAAGCCTTGTTCCCAAATGCGGTGAGTTAAGACTTTGGAGTTTCAGATACACTTTGATTACAGTGGTTTTCAAATCCATCTCAGCTTCAGAATAACCTGGAAAACCTATGAAAAGTGCAGATTCTCCTACCTCACCCCCGGCATCCTGGATCAGAATCCCTGGGAATAGAACCCTAGAGTCTGTGTTTTTAACAAACTCTCCAGGGGATTCACATGTGCACTGAAATTGGTAATCTAATCAAAATGGAAGCCTGTCTTTAAGCTATAAGTTTTGAAAATTGAAAGCTAAATAGAAGCACCACCCATGAGTTTTCTGATGGCTCTCCTCACTGCTCTGTACCTCTTATTTATAGACTAAAAGTACAGACTACCATCGTTTGCCCTGTACAATTTAGAAACAGTGATATCGTTGGAAACCAAATGTTTTCATCTCCTTTTGCACTTAGACAAATTAGCAACCTGCACCAAATTGCCATTTCCACATATGAAAATTTCTCTTCAGTTTATCTGAAGTTCTTATTTACACAGCTTATCTTCATTTTAATAATTACAGTAATAATGATGATAGCTACCATTTGCCAAGTGCCTATTATATGCCAAAGTAATGTGCTAGGCGCTTTACAGTCATGCACCACATAATGACGTTTTGTTCAGTGACAGACCGTATATTCAGCGGTGGTCCCATAAATCAGCACCATAGGGCCTAGGTGTGCAGTAGGTTATACTATCTAGGTCTGTGTAAGTGTGCTCTGTGATGTTCACACAACGATGAAATCACCTAACGGCGCACTTCTCACAACGTGTCCCCATCATTAAGCAACACATGCTGTGTATGTATTATTTCTGCAAGTAAGTTAAAATTAAATATTACATGTGAGATAACTGCAGCTCAGAGAGGTTAAAGAGCCCAGGGTGACACAACTGAAAAATGCCCCAGGTGGGACTCCAGCTCAGGTCCGTTTGGCCCCCAAAGCTCATGTACTTTGGCTACCTTTTCATGTCCCCCTTGTCTCTGCGATCCATATGTTATTGCTTGCTGCGCTTTGGCCTTATCTGAAGGTTTCTGGAGTGCCCCCAGGAGCCTCCACTCACATACAGCGTTTAAGGTTGGCCTCTTTGCAGCTTTCCTGTGATGGTTCACCCTGTAGCAGCTGTGTGGGCTTCTTACACGCTGTCTCTGTTAGTAGCCTTGGCTGGAGCATTAGTCCCGTCTGGCCAGCCCCAGCCCAGGAGTGTGTTGCAGCGAAGGGCCTGCTGTTCCACTGGGCTTGTGGCTGATAAACCTGTTTCAGAGGGCTCACCATTTAGGACCAGAGACGCTTCCTTTTTAGACATTATGAACAATCCTCCTTTCCTTAGTGTAATAATAGTCTTTAATCATGTAAGCAAGACTATAAGACTTTAAAGTGGTCCTTCACACCTGAACTTTGAAGTCTAGGTTTTCCTCAGTTTAATGGTGATGATGTAGGCTCAGAGAGGGAAAGTATATTCGTGTGAATTTCTTTCTTGCACCTTGAACTCCAGATCTGAAACCATGCTCTTCTTCTTTCCCCGTATTCTCCTACCATTTCCAGGTTCTTTATTTTAGTTGGTGAATTGGATTTTGTGTTTTGTTTTATTTAGTTTTTTAATCTCCTTACTTGGCATAATTAACATTGTCAACTTTGCATCCAGAACTTTCTGTAATCTTTTCCTACCTTCCCAGTCTGACTTTCTCTTCCATTCCTCCACGCGTTCTAACTCGTAGCTACATAGATGTGCTTGCTCTGCTCCAACCACCATACCCTGTAAAGTTGTCTCTGCTTTTTGTCTCGTGTGTGTCTTCAGCCTGGCCTGGTCCTGCTTGTCTCACTCCTTCCACCTTCCTCACATGTACCTTGTCCCAAACAAGCGGCCATCCACTCTCTACCCGTCAGAGTGAAGGGATCCACTAGCCTTGTCCTGATCATCTTCCGTGGCCTTTGTTTCATTCTGCTTAGTGATGGTTGGCAGATCGTGTGTCATTCTCCTTTACTAGCTCCATAAGGCCTGTGAAAGGGTGTTGAGTGAACAAATTCCATCAAATGAGCTGGTGGCAAAGCAGAGGATAGTAACCTTTGGGGAAAAAAGAAGGAATCTCTTTAAAAAACTTCCACGACAGTATAGGTTTATATTTTGATAAACATCGTTCAGACTGACTTTTCTTTTTATCATAAAATGTTACCCTGAAAGCAGGTGTTGATTCTTGTGTGTTTTTTCTTCCTTTTTAATTCAATGCACGTTTAGGTGGCACAGGGTGCTTTTAAAAGGAATCCTGACCAATGGACTGGTGTCCGTGTATGAGCTGGACTACGGAAAGCACGAATTAGTTAACATAAGAAAAGTGCAACCCCTGGTGGACATGTTCCGGAAGCTGCCCTTCCAGGCGGTCACGGCTCAGCTAGCAGGTAACTTCTGTGGAATCGGAACTCATGTCACAACGTAGTTTATATTGTCATTTTGTCCTGGGTACTTAGGGAGTACCAAATCATTGGCCTGTTGAGTTCGCTTCTTTTTTTTTTGCACAACTTCCCAACCATATTAGAAATAATCTTAATGATCGCTCACAGTCATGCCCTCCCACTATATCTGCTGTTTCTGTTTTTCCATATTTCTCTTTCTGGTTTCACGTATGAGTATATTTCTAAAGCTGTGATCTTAGTACTGGTACAATATTGCATTCTGCTTTCTTCATTAAGCATTTTTTTTCCCTCATTACTTTTTGGCTGGTTGTTTGATGGTCTTGATAATGATTTTTAATAGCTGCAAAATATTCTGTTTAATCATGTTCCCTATTGTTGAACTTTTAGGTTGTCTACACTTTGGTTGTGGTATTAAGAAAAGAACCTGCAGCTATGTATACTAGCTAAAACAAACAGTGAAACAACCTAAAAAACCAACAAGAGAACATTGCACAATTAATATTTCATAATTTACTGCATAAATTATAATACGTTTACATAATGGATTTTCACGATTATAAAACATTCCTGGGTCATAGACCATTTTCGTGGCCAAGTGAGTTTCCAGTTGCGTTGCAGCCAACGGCACGTCACCACGGTCACACCAGCCTGTCGACAGTGGTTACAGTCGGAGGAGCTGAGCTAACGGCTGTGCAGTGGCGCTTCCATAGTGTAGTCTGTTGAGATTTCGTTGTATCTTTTGTGGAAGTGGTGTAAACGTTGGCGGCTCCTCTGTGTGCACTCTACCAGCAGGGAGCACCAGCAGTTAGAGGCAGCTCCACCCAGAGGCCTGTCAGCATGAGCAGAGGGTGTGGCAGCCAAAAGGGCTGAGGGGCACAGACACCTCCAGTCACCCAGGCTCTCTGTGCCCCGCCACGCTGGGCTGTGGGGAGTTTGGACCGTGTGGTGCCTCCCTGATTCCTCACCCTCGCGCAGTCCATACATTTAGCACAGTAGCACAGTGGCAGAAGTGATTTGATCTCAGAAATGAGGGAAACTATATATGTAGGTTTTTTTTTTTTTAAAAGATTGGCACCTGAGCTAACAACTGTTGCCAATCTTTTTTTTTTCTGATTTATCTCCCCAAATCCCCCCCGTACATAGTTGTATATCTTAGTTGCACGTCCTTCTAGTTGTGTCATGTGGGACGCTGCCTCAGCGTGGCCTGATGAGCAGTGCCATGTCCACGCCCAGGATCTGAACTGGCAAAAACCTGGGCCACCACAGCGGAGCACGTAGACTTGACCGCTCGGCCACAGAGCCGGCCCCTAGATTCTTCTTTTAATTATTGACTAGCTTTTATTGGAGAGATAGATATTTCCTTATTTTGAAGTATTTGCCAGTTTCTTTATGCCTCCTACTAGAATTCAAAGGAAACTCCCATGGTACTTGGATATGAACCAAAAATGGCATTTTGCACATGGCATGGCTTCCATTCATCTGCTTTGAACTCAAAACTCTAAATGGTTTCTTCATATTTAATGGTTACATTTTTTAATTTTTATTTTTTAATATTCAGGTTTTGGTAACAACACATTTTGTTAAACATGACAATCAAACTGCCCAGAGGGGGAGTCTCTGTGAGGAATGGGTGCCTGGCACCATCATCCCCACCACCAGCATCATGGCTGTCATTCACTGGTGCTCACTATGTGCAAGGGACTCCACCGCCCCACACTAGGAGGTTTAGCTGCTGTTACTATCACTATGACACAGATCAGGAGACAGCGGCTTAGAGACTACGCAAGGCTTCTCTTGTGGGAGATTCTTTTTTTTTGGTGAGAAAGATTGGCCCTGAGCTAATATATCATGCCAATCTTCCTCTTTTTGCTTGGGGTCGATTGTCGCTGAGCTAACATCTGTGCCAGTCTTCCTCTATTTTGTATGTGGGACACCGTCTCAGCATGGCTTGATGAGCAGTGTGCAGGTCTGCCCCCAGGAGCCAAACCCCTGAATCCTGGGCTGCCAAAGCAGAATGCATGAACTTAACCACTACACCACTGGGCCGGCCCCTTGTGGGAAATTCTTAATAATCAGAGAACTTAGCCCACTCACTATATACATAATAGGTCTTTTAAATTATATGTGAAACTCCCAGACTTTGGTCACTGTGGGGCATAATTTATAGTTTATCTAATGTAGTATATATGGACTTAAATTATGTTAGTTTAGTAGTATTTCTTGGAAAATACATATTTTTGTCTCAATTTTGTTTTAAAATCTAATTTAAATTCTTCAACTTGAGTTCTCAAGTTTGAAAGTCATGGGGATTTAGAAATGACTGGGACTTAAAATTCATTTGGTCCCACGAGTTTATTTTACGGTAAGCCCTGAGAGAGAACTGCAGTGCCCAAGCTCACAGCACTTGAGAGAGGAGGAGTTGGGAAGAGTAACTGAGTCTCCAGACTTTCAGCCCAGTGCTTTTACCGTGATACTGTATATAAATTTGAAAAATTAGTATGCTGTAAGTACATTAGTTCTTTTTTTTTTTTTTACTATATCTGGTTCATCAGGGGAAAAAAATCTGTAAAAGAAATGTCCAATGACATATAATAATATTTTATTCCCCCTAGTTATCTCTATTATCAGTTTAAATCTGCATATACTTTATGTGGGGAAATGGGCAGTGGTTTTTCTAAGTTCATTTTATAACACAGCATTGAATCTCAGATGAAACCTGTGTCTGTAGGTAAAGGGGTTGCAGAAGTAAGCCCGTTCAGAATAGAGAAGCTATAACCTGGACTGTTGTAAGATTGTTCAGCAACTGTTTTTCCGTTAGGCAAGTCTAGCCTGGTATGTTTAAGCTACTTTGGAAAAGACTAAATCGTTTTCCGTTATAATAGATCCAAGACAAGCTCATCTGAGCCCTCGCTCCTCCTCCTCTTTCTCACAGGGGTGAAGTGCAACCAGTGGTCCGAGGAGGCTTCGATGGTGTTTCGAAATCATGTGGAGAAGAAGCCTCTGGTGGCGCTGGTGCAGACGGTCATAGAGAACGCTAACCCTTGGGACCGGAAGCTGGTGGTCTACTTGGTGGACACGTCGCTGCCAGACACGGATGTCTGGATTCATGATTTTATGTCGGAGTATCTGGCAGAGCTTTCAAAAGTTAATTAATCACAGCTTCTGAGACCTTAACAACTAATTCAGATTGTTTAGCAATAACAAAATGTAGTAGGCTTTAAAAAAAATCTTCTCTCTGCTACATGGCTCTGACTGCTGTGGGGGATTGAAAAGAAAATGCTTATGTTTGATGAAAGATATTTAACAAGTTTTGTTTTAACAGAGTTGACTTTTCAAGAAAATTGCACTTGAATTATTACTATAATATTAGAATAAAAATGTTTATCAATATAAAAACCGACTACCTTATAATTTGTAGGCTTTATGATCTTAAGATGAAGTTTCCCTTTCTACTCGTGTTGTCTTCTTTGTGGCGCTGAGTTCTTCTCCCGTTAGATCGAGTGGTAGTGTGGTGTGTCCCAGAGCAGGTGGTCCCAAACCGTGGGAAGACTATCCTGAGTCTTGAACACGTCAGCAGTGCTAGAGGTGCTGCTGGAGGAGCAGCCCGGGCACCCAGCATGCCCCTCACCACAAATCTTGAGTGGCTTCTCGTCGCCCACAGAGTCCAGGCCGAACACCCAGCCCTCCACAGTCTCCCTACCCAACTTCACTGTCCACCCTCCCTGCACCAGCCACCCTCGACCCTTATCTGGTTCTTGAAACCCAGACATGTGCGTCCCGGACTGCTGATATTCTAAAGCAAGACTCGCTCCCCTCCACACTCTGCTTGTTGTATTTCCTCAGCCTGCAAATCATGCTCCACCCACCATGTTTGTCTGTCAGTATCCTCCCTCACCTCCTGGACTGACGGTGAAGCCTTCCCTGGTGCCCGTCCTGCTCCTCTGTACTTTGAGTATGCCTCTCTTGGTGCCCAGATCTCACTGAGCTTTATAGTATATAACTGGTTGCCTCTGCACCAATCACCCCAACTAGATTGTGAGCTCCTTGAGGGAGGGAGAGGTCTTAGTCATCTCTCCAGCTGGTGTTGTACTGGTAAATGTTTGACAACTGGTTCTGGTGGGTGTGGTGGGGGAGTGAGCCTTGATTTGTAGTATCTGACAATTCCCAATTTGTGAATATTCCAACTCTTGTTGAGTTCCAACAATGTGACATCTCTGAATGTCGAGTTGGGAAGAGATGCACCCAAGTAGCTCTTGTGAGCCTGTACAGTGGACTCCAGCGCACCACTGTCTGCGTCCTCCCCAACAGACAGAATGACATCTTGCGCATATCGGGCACCCTTTATGTGCTTGCTAATTGATGGGCAAGATGGATTGACAGAGGGATAGGTTGGAGGCCTTAGCAGGGATCCAAAGATGAGGTGGGGAGGCCCTGGACTCTTTAAGAGTGGAGCAGTAGGAACAAAGAAAAATAATAAAGCCTTTTTGAAGTTTTTAATTAGAATTATTATAACTGACATCTTAGATACAGAAGATAGGCAAAAGGAGGTGTCAAAGTAAAGCCAGGTCTTAACATCTGAGAGCTAGCGTGATGACCCTTGCTCAGTTTTTGGTTGGGAAGCATACTGAGTTTACACTAATAGAGTCTGAAGATTTGCATAAACTATTGAAATATGGAGTGGATTTCAGGAGAGAAGACCAGGCTAGAGATAAAAATTCTTAAAGTCATTATTTGTATTTGAGAAAACCTAGGAAAAGTGAGAATAGAAAGAAGGTAAAGACCAGATGTTTTAATTTTTTCATGTAAAACATTGAAATTATCTTTATAGCTTTTTAAAATGTATTTTAATATTTATATAAGTGATCCAAAATTCAGGAATGCTTATGCCAGTGATTTAAATAATCATTTATGATAAAAATATCCTGACACATAAATGTTTAAGTGAAATAAAGTAGTGTAAATATTTTTTTATAATGCTTTCTTTCCCTAGCAAAAAACAACAAAAATCCTTAAATTGCCTACAGATAAGGAAGAGGTGGTTTCTATTTCACTGACTTTAGAAATGTTTTCATTACTTTTTAAAATAAATTAATTAATTGTGTTGTTGATATAACTGAAAAATTAATTTGGTGCTTAGACAATTTGACAGACGGACAAATGAAACTTGACCCCGACCTCATGACATTTTCAAAAGTCAAGTCCAGGTGGATTGAAAGCTTAAACATGAAAGGTTGATGTAGGAAGATAACATAGGACAATAATGCCTGTATACTCCACGAGTAGGAAAGATGTCTTAAACAGGACACACAAGGTGCTAACAAAGAAAAAGATGCATATACTCGATAGAGTAAATGAACACCAGCCCGTCAGAAGACATGATGAAGGTGAAAGGCATAGCACAGAGGGGAGGAATATATATATGGCGGGAGAATAGACCGAATATACCTGATAAACAAGAGACTCTCCAGAAGCAAAATGGGCAACACATCTGAACAAACACTTCACCAAAGAGCAAAAGCATCTGGCCAATAACCACGCAAAGGTGCTCAACCCGTTAGGACAGAGGGACATGCAGATTCAAACCTCAATGAGACACCACGACTCAGGCACCAGAAGGGCAAAAAGGTTTGCTTTTTTTTAAATTCCAAGGGTTGTTGAAGATGTGTGCACTTGTGCAGGAGGATACTGGTAAAGAATGTTCACAGTAGCACTATTTCTAATAGCTGAAACCTAGAAACAACCGAAATGTCCATTAAGAGTAAAACAGATTTTTTTTAAACTGTGGTATATTCATTCAATGGAAACCTCCACACCAATGGGAGTAAACCAAATACAGCCACATGAAACAACACGGACTAGCCTCATGACACGGAGTTGTCTGAAGAATTGAAAACAAACTATGGAGGAGAGAGGCAAGCAAGAGGTCATTACCATGAGAGTCAAAGTGACCGTCTTTAGGAGGGAGCCATAACCAGAGGGCAAGGTCACTCCTCAACTGTTGGCAGTGTTGTTTCTTGACTGAGTTGTAGTTCCAACAGGTGTACTCATGATAAAAATTCTTGAACCTGCACACTTACGTTGTATGTACTTTTCTTAAATGTTTGATTCCCCAAGTGTTTAAAATAAATAGTCTGATATATTAAATCATTGCTTTATTTAAAAATATATGGCACATACCCTTTGAAAAGAGCATTCTCTTACACCTAGGAGGGTTTTGTAATCTAAGAATACATTTTCGTGGAAAACAAAATTAAAAAAAAAACAACAAAAACAAAATCGAGTGTTTCCTGTTGGTAATCTGTACACTAGGATTAAGAAGAGTTGATATTATTAGAGTCTGCCCCACCAGAATCTTTCCCATAATAATCCAAAGAGACCTTACCTTCTGTCCAAAGTCCTTTTTATGAGCCATTTTTAAAATTAAAACACTTAAGTTTCTGTTTGGGTTTAAATCGTTTGTTCTGGAAAACATATTAGCCTTTTAAGAAAGGGGGACTTTCTCGTGGTTATTTTAAGTCATTATTTTGGACACTCTCTTCTCTCTTAGTATAGAGAGAATGCATTCAACTCTTGCAACTACGTGTTCACAAGCTGATCGCTGTTAAAGCTTCGGCTCAAACCAGACCCAGCTGGGCTGCTGCTGCGACGGACAGGCCGTGGCTTCAGTCAAAGAGGGAAAGTGAAGGCGCAGCAGCAGGTTGGCTGGCTTTGCTGCATCCAAGGTCCTACCGATTCTTACATCCCAGACCCCGCAGGTATGAACATCCGTCCACCCTTTCCCAGATAACTCTACCGTCGCTCAAACTCCTCCTGGTACAAGTGGAGACACCGAGAATCAGACTACGGGCGACCCGCGCTCACTTGGCCGCGGAGCCAGGCTTCGGGGCGGCCCGGCCCCGGCCCGGCGCTCCCCCAGTGGGTGTCGCTCCCCGGCAGGGGACGGCGCGCTGCGCCCCGGCGCCCCCGAGTGGAGGGAGAGGTAAGGAGGGCGCGGGCGGCGGGCGGC